TTGTCTCCTAGCCTGGATTTCCTTGGTGACCGCTCTGCTGCTAGTGCTGGGCCTCAGCGCCGTCCTGGGCCTGCTGCTGCTGAGGTGGCAGTTTCCTGCACACTACAGGTACCACCCCCGCCAGGCAGGAGACTGGTGGTGGACCGGGCGGAGCCGGAGGCCTCTAAACAGGCATTCTCGGTTCGCTCTGTGACCCTAGATCTCCGGTCACCGCCCGTGCGCACCTACGGCTTCGCCGCTTCCTGCACGTCTCCTCTGGGACTTGCCGCGACTCCTTACACTCTAACACGCCCACTATACCGCACACCTCGAACAGCCCCGCCTCCTGCTGCTCACCTTGGCGACTAGGCCACCGTCCACCCTTCAGCCAAACTGCCCACTCCACCCCCATCCAATTGGCCATCAGGTCCCACCTCCTAAACCTAGTCCAAACAATGGCCCCCTTTCTCTAGCCCTGACTCACTGAAACAGAACCTCTTCCCGCTCCGATCTAGCCTCACACAGCCAACAGAATAATCTTTCTAAAATGCGCACATGAACCTATCAATTCCCTCCTTAAATCCCTTTAATAGCTCCCAGGATATAGTCCAGGCTCCCTATGATGACAAGCGAGGCTCTGCAAAATCGACCCCTGCCAGCAAGCACTTCAGCCTCTTCTACCCTGTGCATCAGCCTTTCCAAACTGGTTTTCTCCACAAGTCAGGTTTTACTTCTCAGTGCCTTTGCACATAATGTCCCCTCTGCCTGAAATAGCCTCCCTGTCTGACTAAACCCATTCATCTGTAAATAACTTTCTTCACCAACTCATAAGAAACCTTTCCTGACCCTCCCCCGTTTGGCCGCTGCTTTGTGCTCCAATACAGTACCAGTAGTGTTTTACTGTGTTTATTTCTTTATATATCTTCCCTATTATACCTTACTTGGTCATCTTTAAATCCTTAGCACAGTGCCTGCCAAAAAGCAGGCCCTTAAATAAATGTTATTAATGAGTGACTCATTTATGTGGGAAGACGAAGGCTGAGGAGAAATGCCATTGGAGGCTATAAACATGAAGGGTAGAATGCATCCCACCTCCGTCCTTCATCTGCTGCTTCTTGAAGACTTAGCTCAGAAGTCAGCTCCTCCAGATGGTGTCTTTTGATGGTCCTGTGTTGGTTCAGGTGCCACTCTCGTGGGCTACCATCTCCCTCTGAACATACCTCTCTTTGAACTTTTAATCTGCCCATATGTATGAGCAGACTGAAAGGTAGCCTCCATGAAGGTAGCCAGATCCAACAAAAAAGCTGGAGAAGTAGGAGGAGGTGGTCTGCTGAGAAGGCATACTCAGTTCCTTTTCCCCAATTTACCAGGTAAGTCACATCTCATCCTCTGGAGAGATATGAGTGAGGTCACTGAAGCAGCCTGAAATGTTCTGCTGACGTCCCTCCACATGGAAATATGAGGCTAAAGAATTGAGGTTCTGGCCGGGCGCGGTGGCTCACGCCTGTAATCCCAGCATTTTGGGAGGCCGAGGCAGGCGGATCACAAGGTCAGGAGATCGAGACCATCCTGGCTAACACGGTGAAACCCCGTCTCTACTAAAAATACAAAAAAACTAGACGGGCGTGGTGGTGGGTGCCTGTAGTCCCAGCTACTGGAGAGGCTGAGGCAAGAGAATGATGTGAACCTGAGAGGCGGAGCTTGCAGTGAGCCGAGACGGTGCCACTACACTGCAGCCTGGGTGACAGAGCAAGACTCCATCTCAAAAAAAAAGAATTGAGGTTCCTCCAACACACCTTAATCCATATTCTTCCCAGATAACTTACTAATAAGCTCCACTGGTTTTATTCATTCATTCATTCATTCAGCTAATTTACTGAGCACATACTACAGGTCAGACACTATTCTACACCCTAGAAATACAGGAGTGAATAAATAGACAAACTCTCTGTTCTCAGGGACCATATGTTCTAGTGGGGTGAGATAGACAAAAAGAAATATATATAACAATACAATAAATGTACAAGTCACGTGCTATAAAGAAAAATGAAGTACAGCAGGAGATAGCCTGTCATGGGGAAAGGAAGTGGTACTACAGTGGTCCCCTCTTATCCACAGTTTCACTTTTTGTGGTTTCAGTTACACGCGGTCAATTAAGGTCCGAAAAAAATTAAATGGAAAATTCCAGAAATAAACAATTCACGTATTTTAAATTGTAAGTAACATGATGAAATCTCTTGCCATGCCGCTCTGTCTCACCCGGGATGTAAATCATCCCTTTGTCCAGCATCTCCACGCTGTATATGCTCTCTGCCGCATAGTCACTTAGCAGCTGTCTTGCTTATCAAATTGACTCGTTGAGGTATTGCAGTGCTGTGTTCAAGTAACCCTTATTTTAGTTAATAATGGCCCCAAAGAACAAGAGTAGTGATGTTGGCACATTATTATGCTTGTTCTATTTTATTATTAGTCATTGTTAATCTCTTACTGTGCCTAATTTATAAACTTTATCATAGGTATGTACGTACAGAAAAAACATCTGCTGGGAGTCTTGAAACATATCCCCTGCAGATAAAGGGGGACTACTGTGTTTCAGGCAGGGTAGTCAGGGATGACATTTGAACAGAGGCCCACAATGAGGTGAGGGAATGAATCCAGTATTCCAGACAGAACAAACATTGGAATGTTTGAGGAAACTGCAGCACCCTTTGTTGAACCTGCCCACCACTGACTTCACTCCCCTACCTGAGGTTTTCTTCTTACTCTACTCCCCTGCCTGACTTTATTGCCTTGACCATGCTGTTATCTCTCCAAGTCTTACTCCCTGGCCTCACTGCTCCCCCACCCCAACTGCTCTCCTCCTCCACACCAATTCACTGCCATGGCTCAGTCTGCTTCTCTTCTCCCCCAGGAGACTGAGGCATGCCCTGTGGCCCTCACTTCCAGATCTGCACCGAGTCCTAGGCCAGTACCTTAGGGACACTGCAGCCCTGAGTCCGGTGAGTAAGGTTCCCTCCCCTGTGCCCACCACCAACCCTGCCTGGTACTGGATCTTTGCCCCAACAACACAACTTGTTCAAGGTCCTTGCCCTACCAGCGTGCCATCCCCAGGCACTACCCCAGCACTACCCCAGCCCTTCTCCTTCCTGTACAGTCCAGCCCCTCCTCCCACAGGATCTGCTCTAATCCAATGCCTCTCCTCATCTCTCCCAGCCCAAGGCCACAGTCTCAGATACCTGTGAAGAAGTGGAACCCAGCCTCCTTGAAATCCTCCCCAAGTCCTCAGAGAGGACTCCTTTGCCCCTGTGTTCCTCCCAGTCCCAGATGGACTACCGAAGATTGCAGCCTTCTTGCCTGGGAACCATGCCCCTGTCTGTGTGCCCACCCATGGCTGAGTCAGGGTCCTGCTGTACCACCCACATTGCCAATCATTCCTACCTACCACTAAGCTATTGGCAGCAGCCTTGAGGACAGCCTTGAGGCTCCTCACTCCCAGTTCCCTGGACGGAGCTAAACCCTCAAGACTTCTCTGTGAACTTCCCTACCCTACCCCCACAACACAAGTACCCCAGACCTCACCTTCATCCCCCTCTGTCTGCCCTCACAATTAGGCTTCATAGCACTGATCTTACTCTACCGCTGCTGACATAAAACCAGGACCCTTTCTCCACAGGCAGGCTCATTTCACTAAGCTCTTCTTTTACTTTCTCTCTCCTCCTTAATGCCAAACACCTTGAAAACAAGCCTTCACTTCCCCACACTCCCCATTTACTCTTCAGACTACTTCAATTAGTTCCCCTACTACACTTTGCTAGTAAAACTGCCCAGGCAAAGTGCACCTCAAATCTTCGAATTCCAAGATCCAAAGGATCTCGTTAATCATCAGTTCCTTTGATCTCTCTGTGAGATTTGTCATGGCTGACTACTCACTTTTCCTTTAAATTCTTTCCTACCTTGGTCCTGCCTCTTTGAGTAGACTAGTAGTTTTTTTTATTTGTTTGTTTGAGAGAGGGTCTCACTCTGTCACCCAGGCTGGAGTGCAATGGCGCAATCTCAGCTCACTGCAACCTCCACCTCCTGGGTTCAAGCGATTCTTGGGTCTCAGCCTCCCTAGTAGTTGGGATTACAAGTGCACATCACCATACACAGCTAATTTTTTTTTTTTTCGAGGCGGAGTCTCACTCTGTCACCAGACTGGAGTGCAGTGGCGCGATCTTGGCTCACTGCAACCTCCGCCTCCCAGATTCAAGCAGTTCTGCCTCAGCCTCCCAAGTAGCCGGGATACAGGTGCCTGCCACCACACCTGACTAATTTTTTTGTATTTTTAGTAGAGATGGGGTTTTGCCACGTTGGCCAGGATGCTCTCAATATCCTGACCTCATGATCCGCCTGCCTCGGCCTCCCAAAGTGCTGGGATTACAGGTGTGACCCACTGCGCCCGGCCCCAGCTAATTTTCGTATTTTTAGTAGAGACAGGGTTTTGCCATGTTGCCCAGGCTGCTCTTGAACTCCTAACCTCGGGTGATCCACCCACCTTGGCCTCCCAAAGTAATGGGATTACAGGCATGAGCCACTGCACCCAGCTGAGTGTACTAGTAGTTAAGAGAATAAAGTAGATCTAGAATCAGAGCTGGATTGAATTCCTGTCCTTCACATGTGCTAGCTGTGCAACCTTGGGCACATAACTTAATGTCTTTGAGCCTTAGTTTTTTCATCTATAAAACAGGAATAATAACAGCACCCCACAGAGTTGTGATGAGGATTGAGGTAATTAAGTAAAGCACAGTACCGAGGACATAGTAAATGATTAATATATCTGAACTACTGTTGTAATTATTCCTTCTTACTCTCTTCTAGTATTTCTTCCAATTATTACAGTCCTTCAAGATTCCATTTCTTAAGAGTCTCCAATCCCATCTATTCTCTGCCTTTACTATATGTTGACCATTCTAAAGTTCTTATCTCTAGCTCAGACGTCTACTACAGCACTGTGATGCTTTATGCAACTAACTGTTTACATGTCTGTCCCCTGCTACTAGATTGTGAGCTCCTTGAGGGAAAGGACCATGATTTATTTGTCCTTTTCCCCCAGCACCTAGAGTATTGCTTGGTGCATGATAGTAGGCCTTCAATAAATTTTCTCTAAATGAATGAAATCTTTCTGGGCAAGGTTACCTGAATCCCATGCCAGCTGTTCTCATCCTCTAAACCATTCACAGGCAGTAGTAAATGTGCTCAGACCGCTGGTTATGGACTCTCCTAACACATTCCAATTCTCAAACAAATGGTTTTGTTGTCATTGTTGTTTTTTGTTGGCTCCAAACATACCCACTGTATCAGTCAGGGTCTTGGCAGAAATAGATGACACACTCAAATTGGGTAATATGATGAGAGTGTAATAAAGGGCAAACAGTATTTACAAAGATGAGGGCAAGATTTGGGAAAACCATCAAGGAACAGTGCAAGTGCCTCTGAGGCTAACAATAACAAGGTGCTGGCACTAGCCCTAGGCATCAAGGGGTAAGGGAGGGAGTGGTTCCCAGATCACCAGAGAGTAGCTGTAAGACAGGGCTGCCTGGAAGGAGTCATGGCCTTTCTTTGGTGGAGGGATGCGGCCAGCCTATGGGCAGGTGGCAATGAGAGAGCCAGGGGGATAGACAGCTCAATTTCATGCTCCTCCCATTCCAGTCTTGGGTCCCTAGGAGTAAAGTCAGAGCCTTTCACATGGCTGGGGAGGAATTATGGAGATTGGGTATACTGGACGTCATCCATTTGTCCCACCCAGACCTATTCTCCATTGTTCTCCATCTTGTCCTATGCTTAGCAAGGCTGATTCATATGGCCTGCATCAAAATCAAAGCATTCTCTTGGGCTTTGGTTTCTGCTTGGGTTCCAACAATAGGAGGATATTATGGATTGAATGATATTCTTCTCCTCTCCCTCAAATTCACATGTTAAAGTCTTCTTCTTTTTTTTTTTTGGCTGGGCGCGGTGGCACACACCTGTAATCCCAGCTACTTGGGAGGCTGAGGCACAAAATCACTTGAAACTGGGAGGCAGAGATTACAGTGAGCCAAGACCACACCACAAAAAAAGACAAAAGTCTTTTTTTTTTTTTTTTTTTTTTTT